GAAAGTGAATGGTTACTTCTTCGTTGGTTGGTAAATTATTCCGCACATGAATGACGAGAATATCATTCAGTTCGACTTCGAGAAGCGGAGCGGGAAATGCATCGTTGATCAGTATGATAGAAGAGAAGTTTTAAGACGAAACATCGTTTGCGTTCCATCGATCGTCGTCAAACAGAACACAAACGAATACCAAAATTTTCTTTCTGTTCTCTCCTAACTTTTTACTGACCGATTCGTTCGTCAGTGCGTAACGAAGACGGAACGGAATTTGAACATCACCAATCTATTTGTTGAACAATCAAATAGGCTATAACCGAACAGGCAATCGTCAACGACACTCTCGACACTTTAGACCTGCAGAGATACCGCACAACAGCTGCGTGTTTGTCAAAATTTTCTTTCTGTTCTCTCCTAACGTTTTACTGATCAGTTCGTTCCGTCTTCGTTACGCACTGACGAACGAATCGGTCAGTAAAAAGTTAGGAGAGAACAGAAAGAAAATTTTGGTATTCGTTTGTGTTCTTCCTCATTTCTTTTTACTGTTTTCATTGCATGTCTCATACCTGCTGATGCTGACTATGAGTTGGCGAGAGCTCGAATATGATTTTTATTGATTTGAAAATAATGCTTCTAATAGCAGTTCTATAGTCCATTTACGGCATATATAGGTTTCATCTGCGTAGAAAAACAAGCACTGGTTACTCTCCATTAAAATCCTCACAATAGATCTAATCATACAATGTACGATGCGCCGTTTTCATTTCTCTGTTTGACGACGATCGATCGAACGCAAACGATGTTTCGTCTTCTATTCGCCATCGTCTCCGTATTAGCAGTGATCAACGGCGTAAAAGCAGCCAATCGACATCGTGAGTATACTCTGACCGTAGCATACGCACAAAACTTCTCTTCTATCATACTGATCAACGATGCATTTCCCGCTTCGCTTCTCGAAGTCGAACTGAATGATATTCTCGTCATTCATGTGCGGAATAATTTACCAACCAACGAAGAAGTAACCATTCACTTTCATGGCATGCTCATGCGGCAAACGCCACGCATGGATGGTATGGCATACATCACACAAATACCCATTCCTGGTGGTCGGCAATTTACCCATGTTTTTCATGCTTATCCGGCTGGTACGTACTTCTATCATTCACATTCGAGTTTACAAGCTGTGACGGCCTTCGGTCCACTGCTGATTCTTGATAGTGAAAGACCGTGGAAACTACCCGAAGTACCGAGTGGTCCACTACTCTTTTCCGATCAATGACTGATATCCGATCGTAGGGCACAAGAAGCTGGTCTTCTCGCTTCCCCATTTCAGTGGGAAGACGAATCAAAGGCAGGGTGTCTTTCTTATGGAAACAGCCATTCGATGGCGAACGATGCCAAATAGCTCAAGGTAAAAGATAGGATAAGAGGTGATGGTGATGCTGGGAAAATATATGGATCGATTTCAGTTGTACGGCTGTGCTGCCCTATGATTCCATTTCTCAAGTTCCATCTGATCTCTCCGGTCTGACACGTCCGCCGTTGCTGGCCGAGGTGGATCTAATTGCATTGGCTTGGAAGAATCCATATGAAACCAAAAACAAAATGGATGCCATGCTGCGTAGAAGGGTTGATCGGGAGTATTTTCTTCTAGGTGCTCAAGCTCACACCTCAGACGGCTTGGGTATTCGGTGGATAATCAACAATGCGACATTGGATATGTCACGATTGAAGAATTTTACCACACCACTCCTCCTCGATCTTTACAATGGGAATGAGCAAAATCTACCCAACGATGTCACCTATACTGTCAAAGACAATGAACTTGTTGATATTGTACTTCAAAATACTGTGGCATTGAATGGTGTCTGTGAAATTCATCCCTTTCATATGCATGGACACAAATTCTGGGTCCATTCGTATGGAGCCGGCATGTATGACAAGTCGATATCTGATTCGATATCGGTTGTCCATCTCGTGCTACGAGATTCTCTGATTCTCTATGCTTCTGAATACGCCTATTTTACTCCCAATCGTACCACAAGCAATTACCTGAAAGCATGCGGATGGACTAAATTACGGATGATTGCCGACAATCCAGGTCTATGGATATTTCATTGTCATATTGGAGCGCATGCACTCATGGGTATGAATATTTTAATCAAAGAGGATACCAACAAGTTAGAAATGCACTCATTGCCACAACATTAAACACCAGTAGCGATCTTCAAAAGAAAACAGTGATCTGTCTTGCATTTCGTGCTTTTATCAACTCTGCTGAATTCGATTTGAACAGTTTTGGTTCTTCCTGCAGGCGTGAGTCAGGGTAGAGAAATAGAGCACCCATTCTCGCCTGACGGTGTGAGCGTTGATGGTGTGAAGTGTTTCTGGTTGGGTACAGAAGAGAGTCACTCACCGGTACGTCCTCATCTTCACTCTACCTACTCTTTTTATGATGCGATCACGATATTCATGTCAGGCAACTTCAACCTAAGCAATACATTTTATTTTGGTGAAGTACCATACAGCAAAATAGCCGTAACATGAAAAAAATTAACATATACTTTTTATGTTCTCATTCGATTCTATGCTGAAAACTGGGGTTATGAAGAAATTTTTTAAGTTCCAGAACCATTTGCCGCTGAGTT